ATATACATATATATATATATATATATATATATATATGAACACCCTACTTGACCAACTTGTGTGGATAAATTTACTCATAAAAACTTATAGAAAAAGAAAATAAGAATAAATAAAATAAGTTTTAGCATAAGATAAAACTAATTTATACAAGTTTTTTTAAAGAAAAAATAGTTTGCGCAAGTTAAAAAATATAATTTTGAAGAAGTTCATATGAGAAAGACAGAAATAAATTAATGTATAAATTAATTTTAATTTTCAAAGAAACTTAATTCATTTTTTTTTCTTTCAAATAAATAGTTATAGAAAAATTTATCCAAAGAAATAAAAAATAAAAAACTTGGAAACCACCTGGTAGTTCAAGCAACTAAATTCATGTTTCATCATGGTTTACAGTTGAATACTCCAAAGTCAAAACCATAGTTTAGAGATTTAGTTTTATCCACATATAATATCTTTAACAATTATTTTAATCTTCTTAATTGAACAAATAGAAATATTTTAACCAAAATATCTATCTTTGTACTTCATAAATTTTTTAGTAATTATGAAATTAGTATGAAATATTCATAATTAAAAACAGTGACTAATTTCTATAAGGACAGTAAATATAAGCTAAGTAGATATTCTCTTCTTAGCACAGTCTATTTCATACTTAAGATCAAGATTCAACCAGTAGTTCATAGATTTATTTTAACTTTCTTATTTTACACATTTATTCACTTTACTGAGTTAATAGATTTGTTAAGCAAAATAATAGTTAAATTATGTTTTAACATAATTTTGGATCCCAAACCACAGTGAGTAAAAGTAAAAGAAAAAAAATCATTTTTTCCGTTGAAACAAGTCATGGATTTATAAACTATAATTCAAAAACACCCTACGTAATCTCCTTATTTTCTTTTTTAATTTTCATTTGTTGTTTGGTAGCAAATGGCTACTGTTATAATTTCTTGTACGTTAAGAATCTAATCAAGCAGTTACCAGAAGGTAGAATAAACTGAGGAGGTTTGGATTTGAAGTTTCACCTTCTGTTATCAATTCTGAATTTCATCATTTTATGTTGGTTGGTTAAGAAAATTAGAAAGCGATTGAAAGCTAAGCCAGGTTCTATTTAACGCAATTTCATGTCAACAAGAAAAGGTTCAAAGGCTATATCTTATTCAATTTGAGTAACTAACCACAAACTTGTACTTGGCGTGCAAGTCATAAAACAATTGCTTAGTAACTATGTTGCTCACATGTACTCGAACAAGAAATGATTTGCACATCAAAACATATCCTATAAACTTTGATATTTATTATCGATGGACAAATGTGTTTCGAGGAACATAAATCCTCTGCTTATCTATAAATGAAGCTCATGAATAGTAAATACACAACTCTGCTTACAAATCAATGAACAAAAGAATGCTTAATCTAATTTTACAGAAACAGTAAGAGTTCAAACATGGTGGAGGCTACCTCAATAGTCTTTTCTTTGTCCAAGCACCTGCTATGGTATTGCATTATTCTACAGGGATGCCAACATATCCAAATCATGTCTACTTTTTAGACAAGTTTTCTGTTCCAACTCTCATGTTATGTTGCACACAGTGCATTGAGCAGAACATGAGCTAACATGAGATCCACAAAATACTGATGACCAATTTGGCCATCACGCCACTTCATCTTTGCAGGACCCCTTCCATAGTGGACTCCATCGTTACACCGGTTATCAAAATGCCATGGAAATGTCATATCAAAGTTATCAATCACCCCAGTGATGATGCCAGCTTTCCTCAATTTCTCTATGAGCACTCCATTGAACACCTCCATTTTGTTAGGATTAAATGCTAGTGATCTCGCATATCCACCGGTTGCAACCGTGGTTCGATAAAAGACTCTTGGAATTGCTAACCCTCTTTGCTTCACTCTCATCATAACATCACCCCAGAATGATGCTGCATAGTCTGCTCCAGCTGAAAATGCTCTTACATTGTGCCAGTGAACACCATCATGCAATCCGGAGTTCATGATCACAGTGTCTGGAACTGTTTCTTCTGAGAAGTATTTCCTCAACAAATTTTGAAACCCTTCATCTCTCAGGGAATCCAATCCTAGATAGTTTTGTGTTTCATTCCAATGCCCGTTGAAGATGCTCGTAATCCTAACTGTTTGAGAAGGGTCTTTTGGGTTAGAAAAGTTCATGTCAAATCTTCTGGGTACAGCGTGTATTTCAGGCAAATCCAAAACAAAATTGAGCATATTACGTATTGTGTCAACATGATTTGAATCACCCCAGAAGAAAATCCACCTATTCTTCAAGCACTTCCAAGCAGACTCAGATGAAAACATCTTGAATGAGCAGTGAGTTGAGTACACCCAACCATTACTCTCTAGAACTCCCAAGGAACCATCACACCAAGGTGCTTTACAAGGAAAATCTTGTGCTAAGCATCTGTACCTACCATCATTACCTATTTGGCAGTTATCATTCTTTCCATGCCTTGTCCACCTTCCACACCACACATCCTTGCCAAAATCAGAAGCTTTACAACTCTCTAGTTCTGGCAACTGAGCACTGCTTTTGTAGAATCGGATTGCAACATTGCACACCACTCGATCATAGACGAATCGCCATGGAGTGAACTTCAGACCTTCAAAGTGTCTATAAAGTAGAATTATAGTGAGATTGTAAACCCCAACAAAATCTGGATGAACTTGAAGAGATATAGAGTAAGAACCATTGCTAAAATCTTTCACCAAAGGCCTAGATTTCCACGAGTCACTTGAAAGATCAGTTTCAAAGTAATCCCCACCTAAACAACGAGGCTTCGCTAAATCATCCAATGCTTGAAAACCAAACTCATGCACATCTCCAGCTGATAGTTCTATCAGTTTCCCACCATCCAACTCAGGAATTGATATTCCCACTGTCTTAGAATCTTTACAAGGTTCCCCCCCGGGAGCTAACCATCTTGCCAGAAGATTTGAAGTCAAGTTTAGCTCTAATTCACTTGAAAGCCAAGTTGAGTGCTTCTTAACTTCAGGCTTCGCTGGGGTTTCTGTGTCAAGCTTATCAAACACCCCACTACTACTATAATTCTCAGCAGAAACTACTTCACTGTGCTCAGACAGTGTGATGTTCCCATGCTTGGGGGAATCAAAGAAGGTAGCATTGGTTTGGTTTTGATTCAAACTAAGTGGACTATATGGGGGGCTAAAAGTGAGATTTTGATGATGGGAAAAAGTAAAATTAGGGGAATGAGAATCAAAGAGGGTAGCATTGGTTTGGTTTTGATTCAAACTAAGTGAACTATATGGGGGGCTAAAAGTGAGATTTTGGTGATGGGAAAAGGTAAAATTAGGAGAATGTGACTTTAGAGAAAAAGAATCTTGACGATACCTCCAAGCTTCAATAACATTCCTAACAGTGCAGCCATCAATGGTCCAAACCACAACCATGCCACCGAAAACAAGTGCTGTGAGCAACCCAAAACGCCAATTAAGCATCGGACTAGAAGACCAAAGAGCCCTTTGACTCTCTACCTTTTCTGGCATCACAAACTTCCCAGATCACACCACCACAGAACAGCAACAAACAAAACCAAGACACGATATCAAAAGGTTCCAAAACCAAATCCAAGTTATCCAAAACTAAACACAGCAACAAAGAACAAAGTTTGTTATCCCTGATGACAACACTCCAAAAGGGTGTCCTCAAAGCACAAGAATGTAAATTTTCCCCAGAAAGAAACAAAATAACTAGTGGGGTTACTCACATGGAGGCTTTTAATGTCATGTGAGTGTTGAAACATTAACTAAGCAGCTATGGCTGAGTCACAGTTCTGAGAGATTTTTCTAAAGTTTGGCTCAGCTATGCGGTGCCTTTAATTCTCCTTTTGCTACTGTTTCTAACGCGTTTTGTTATTTAGATTTTTAGTATTTTTCTTCTACTGAGTTTCGCCTAATATGGACCAACCACTGTAGTTATCTGTTTTGTAATGGTTTCTGTGGAAGTTGGATTCAACAGAAGTCCATTATGAAAGTAATTATGGGACGAGTTATCGTTACCTCCTTTTTAGGTGAATGAGATATCATTTTATATTCTTTTCTATAATCATAACATCTAACCTAAATTTTATAATTTTGGGATGTTATTGTTCTTCCTTTTTAGGTGATTGAGATATTATTTTATACCCTTTTTTACTATCTTACTTTTAAGATTTCAAAATAAATAACCTTACTTTTACAATACATCTTAGTCTTTGGTTTTTTTTTTCTTTTTCAATCTAGTTAATCCTTATATTGTGAGTATAATTTACTTTAAATATAAATGACCACCCAAATATTTAAATTTGTGATCTTGTGTATATTATTTTGATCTTAATAATAGTATTAGTTCAATCTCACCGATTTTAATGATATTTAAAATGTGGAATTAGTTTTGAGCTTCAAATTTATATTTATAATTTTCAAGTAATTGTAAGTATTATTAATTCATGAAAAGACATGTATCTTTTATTTTGAAAGAAAAATAAAATAAAAATATTTTGATCTTAATCATTCTTTTAACTAAATTACTTAGTCCAATAATTATAATTGTAAGGTATGTTATAGGATAAAGAGGTTGATCTAATACTCTTAAATATTTTTTTATTATTAAAATAATATTTAATTAATAAAAAATATGTCTTGTAAATATAAATTAATTTTTAATTGCTAACTATAATATTATACTTGTAATATTTCCCAAAAAAAAATAGTGATATCTTTAGATACTCACGAATAAAGAATCATTGCAGCTTGCAAGGCATTATTGACTACAAATAAATAAGAATCATCATAAGGCAGTAGAGTACATATAAATAAGATAGGCCCTCGTATAATCTTAACATAATTTTAATAGATTATTATTAACATCAATCATAATACACGTTCAAATTTAAAGGATAATGTTAATTTGTCTTGGAACATAATATTTTCTTTTAAAATAATTATAAAGTATATATAAAGAAAAAGCCTATCACTATTATTTATAAGTAACTTTAATTCAGGTTAAACTACCTCATGTTCAAAATTTGATCCTATTTATAAAAACTATAAAAAAAATGGAATGAATATAGTATGAATCTAATCAGAATCAATGACGTAAAATATATGCCTAAAAACTTATACAATATCTTATATATTTAAGTTTAACAATCTTTTTTATAATACAAATTTAGTTGATCTAACTCTTGAATTATGTGATATTATATTAATATTTTATATATTAAATTTTGTATGCTTTAAGTTTTTTTAGATATATTATTTTAAAATAGATATTTATAAATGTTATAAATATTATATTATAAATTAAAATAAACAATATAATTAATTACTAAATAATTTTAAAATTATGTAAAATTTAATATA